GGAGGGGGAAGGCTCTGGGAGTGGAGAGGCAGCGGGGCCTTTCCCTGCTAGAGCCTTTCCTCGCTGCAGTGAAAGGCAGGGAGCTGCTGAAGCCTTTCCCCACTGTCTCACCCTGCCAGAGCCTTTCACTGACATGTGTAGCTACACACTGCAGTGTGGTCACAGTCTGCTTTTCACTGCGGCAAGTAGCTACATGCACCCTACACGCTGCTGACTGTGGTGTGTAGTGTAGACATAGCCCATGTGGCTGCGGGGCTCTGGAGGTCTGAGAGGCTGGTTTCAGGACCTTGGGCAGCTTGACCGCACAGTCCCATGGCCCAAGGAGGTGCTCAGTGAAGAATTCTGAGCCTGGGCATGTGCACTAGAGACCAGGTCTCACAAAGTTAACATATAATTTGACTGGAAATAACTACAAAGACTCTGCTTTACTGGCTCTTCACTCTACAAAAGGTACTGATCTGGGAGTGACAGCTGAAAAGTTTTTCCCAATACCTGGTTCTTTTCTCCTTGCTACAGACTTCAGCTTTGCTGGCTGCAGGCTTGTCTGGTAAGGCTGTGAACTGAGACCTTCTGAAGTATTTAGTACCTTTATACAAGGCTCTGGTGAGGCCTCATCTGGAATACTGTGTGCAGTTCTGGTCTCCCATGTGTAAGAAAGATTAATTCAAACTGGAACAGGTGCAGAGAAGGGCTACTAGAATGATCCGAGGAATGGAAAACCTGCCTTATGAGAGGAGACTTAAGGAGCTTTGGTTGTTTCGCCTAACAAGACAAAGGCTGAGGGGAGATATGGTTGCTCTCTATAAATACACCACAGGGATAAACGCCAGAGCGGGAGAGGAGTTATGTAAATCAAGGGGCAATGCTGAAATGGATATGAACTGGCCATCAATAAGTTTAGGCTTCAAATTAGATGAAGGTTTATAACCATCAGAGGAGGAAAAGTCTAGAACAGCCTGCCAAGGGCAATAGCGGGGACAAAGAACCTAGTTGGTTTCAAGACTGAGCTTGATACGTTTCTGGAGGGGATGGTATGATGAGACTGCCTACAATGGCATATGACCCATTGGCAACTGCTGGTAGCAAATATCTCCAGTGGCTGGAGACAGGACACTAGATGGGAAGGGCTCTGAGTTACTACCGTGAATTATTTTGCAGATGTCTGGCTGGTGTGTATTGCTGACACACCCTAACTGAACACCATCTTTGTGGTCGGGAAGAAATTTTCCCGCAGGTCAGATTGGCGGAGACCCTGTGGGGTTTTCGTCTTCCTCTGCAGCATGGGGCATGGGTTACTTGCTGGTTTGAACTAGAGCAAATGGCGGATTCTCTGTAACTTGAAGTCTTTAAATCATGATTTGAGGACTTCAGTAACTCCGTCAGAGGTTAGGGATCTATTACAGGAGTGGGTGGGTGAGATTCTGTGGATGTGATTTGCAGAAGCTCAGATGATCACGATGATTGGTTCTGGACTTAAAGTCTGAGTCTATGAGTCTATAACAGTGACTAGACTCTGCCCAGACCTAGGAGCGCCGCCAGCTTTTCTGCCGCCCTAGGCAGCGGAAGATCCCGCTCCGAAATGCCGCCCCCCACAGAGGTGGCGGAAGGTCCCGCCGCCGAAATACCGCCGCGGTCGCCCCCCCCCCCAAATTGTAGCGCCCTAGGCAACCGCCTATGTCGCCTAATGGGTTGCGCCGGCCCTGCCCAGACCTAGCAGGCTTGGAAGCACATGGGATCCAGTGACTGGGTACACTCGCAACAGACTGGTGACTGTACAGAAGGGGACTGGTCCATGTTGTGACTGTCCTTAAGTCCATGTTCACAACCTTCTCCCTCGCTCATGAAGATTCAGTCTCTGCTGTAGAGTCCCTCCCTGACAGCTGATGAGGATCAGTCTCTGCCCCACCCCCATCCCTTCTCTAATAAGGTATCCCCTCCAGCACCTGCTATAGGTTCTGCCCCAGCAGATGTGGGAGCAGATTGTGCTCTATCTCACATTTCACAGACCCCAGTTGGGAATATGCTGTGTCTATGTGCCATGGCTGCAGGGGGGCTGGAACAATTTGTATATTGCGGGGGGGGAGGCTGTGAGCCATTGAACCAAACTGTAAACCCTGTATAAGATGGAAACCACTTCAAGCCAGGGGATGCGGCAGCACCCCCTACACCCCTAGTTCCAGCACCTATGCATGGCTGATGCCTCCAGGGGTTATTTGCTGCTGGGTGGGAGCATTTTATGCCCATTTTGTACTCACTTTGCTGAGGTGTAAGTGACAAGAGCAGGTGCAGAGCAGTGGGGAATCTGGCCGCTAGTCTATGAGTGTTGTGGAGTAGGGAGGGAAGCAGACAGGAAAGGGTAAGTTCATTGTATTTGAAGGAGTGGACGTTACTCACAGTCTGCACTTGGAGCTGCAGGTCATTTTTCTCTTGCAGCAGGGTCACCATTTTTTCCTCCAGTTCTTTCCTTTTTGCCTCAGACTTAGCAAGCTCCTCCTTCGTTCTCTCAAACTCTTCCTTCATGTTGGCCATCTCCTTCTCAGCTTCAGCACTCTTCAGCAAGGGCTTGATCTTGAAGTACAGCTTCATCCAGGGCCAGTGCTTGACATTCATGAATGAGCGAACGTTGTATTGGAGAGTATAGATGGATTCCCTGAAAATCCATTAAACTACAGCTTAAAGAATGCAGAGTATGGAGCCAATGGGACTTGGGTTAGGAATAAATTCCAGGTATTAGAAGGACAGTTTCTCTAAGTACCATCTAAACAGCTTTTGAGGGAGATTTGTGTTGAAACCAATACATTACTGGGTGTAAACAAGATACTTCTAGTCCCTGTGGAGGTGCAATGATGGACACTCTCTGAATAGAACACAAAGAAATGCTCTGAAACAGAGAAAACACTTCTGGACTGTAACTTGTGGGGCCTTTAGAATGTGATTTCCCCAAATCTCAATGCTGCTCAGGCTAATGCTATTGAGAAGAACTGGCTGCAGGACTCCACCTGCCCAGGGAATACAGGTTTAGAGAGGCAGTTGCCTGTTACCTTCTCTCACTCATCTTCTTGAATTCTACACGCATAAGGTACCCTCTGCACACAGCCTGCGTATGGGTGATGAGGCTCACAAGCTTCTCATCTCTCATCTCCTCCAGCAGTCCCAGGAGACCAGCCTTGAAGAATACCTACAGCGTCATGGAGAGATACAGTATTAGTTTGGGGGCAAAGCGGGTATGCAGCCAATGGAGAAGACACAGGACATAGCAGCAAAGAAAGGATTCCCATGGAGTGAAGATTTGAAAAGCTGGAGGAATGCTGGATCCCCTTTACAGACCTGAGTGTGCACTGACACCGGCACATGTCAATCAGTGTGAACCTGCTCCCCATGTCACTCTAGCTCTGCTCTCATGCTCTCAGAACAGCATGAGTCACTCAGGGTCCTCCGTGATCTCAAATTACTAAAGCAAAGCCCTATGATAATGCCACATCTGGCTAGGGAGCTCAAGCTGACAGCCACTAATGAGCCATCAGGGTAGGGCACTAGCGTCCCCCTGGCAGCAAGGTGACTAGGAGCAGGCCAAGTAGTTTGCTCTGACTCTATTCAAAGCCAGCAATGATCTTGGTAAGCAAAGGGGGAGAGAGGTGTTATTACTACAGCAATGCTCATGAATTCATAACAGCCCTTTCTGTTCTATTGCTCACCCATACACTACCCTTCTGCAGCTCAGCACGCCTGCTGAGCAGTCACACAATAAACCGGACTGCACATTGCCAGAGAAACATACAGAGACGTCTTCCATAAGTGCTGTTAGCTGTAGTAGTGACTGCTCCCTGTGCCCCCTGCCTGTCCTCCCCCAGTGCAGATGCTGCCTGCATCCCAAGAAGCTGCTGATGAGAGTGTGTGGGGCTGGAATGTTCCATTTTCCAGGGTTTATTTTCAATCTTTGCAGCATATCAAAGCAATTACCATGGACCATGGGAGGCTCTTCCAAAAATCAAAGTGCCCTGTGGCTAAAGGCTCCTGCCACCTATGAGCTCATGCAGGGAAAGCAAAGCAGGTTTTCTGCAAATTGCCTAGAGTTTTTCTCACCCATTAAAAGGCATTGTTCCTCATGAGTCTGGGACATCCAAGCCATGGAGCCTGCATGTCAGGTGTGTGCTGCTTTCCTGCACACCAGCTCAGACACAGTGAAGGAGAGAGGAAGCCATGGAGGGAGAAACAAGTCTGCCCAGAAGGGCATGTTTGGGCTCAGTGCAGGCACCAGATCTAACACGGGCACAACCAGCATGGCTCTTGTGGAATATGGCATTGCTGTTAGCAGCAGAGCTCAAAGATCAGCTGCACACACAGCCCTGCAGGTGGCAGCCTTCTCCTTTTGCTCCCACCCCTACTGGATTTTGTTTCCTCGTTTGATGGTGAACTTGGGTTTTGTTTTCTATGAACAGTTGTAGAACTGGACTTCCTACCTTAATGTTTATAAGAAATGAATACAAGAGGAGTGTGAAAACAGCAAATCAAATCCCAGGCTCTAGTTCGGTGCAGTATTCATGAATTTTCCCCATTGTTTATTGTCATGTGTCACGCTGCCCCTCTCCAGATAGAGGTGCCTGCTCACCTCTACATATGAGCATTACCTTACTGTGGCCAAATCTGTACTGATTGTGATCGACATCAATGGAGGAGAGAAGCTTTTCTGAAGCATTCTTACTGTCAATGAAATGGCCTTCGGGGATGGCTGAGGCATTCAGGATTTTGTATCTGTGGGGAAAGAAACAGCAGGACACTGGTTTTAGACAGGGTCAGGAGTACACTTATAATAAGCAGGACATTGCAGAGCGACAGGAAGGTGCGCTGCTTGGAGGTCATTGAATTCACTGTCTAACATCAAGAGGGCTTTGATTATGCAAACTGTGGGTGAACTGAACATTATGACAGGGACCACATATAACTCACTCATTCTCTACTGGAATTTGCTGGCTGTGTTATTATGTGGGTCATTAGCACCAGCAGTTAGGAAGGACACAGTGAGAACTGTCCAGTCCTTTCTTTTTCACCCTGTTACATAAACCAGAACAAGGGAACACTCGATGACTTTAAAAGGGAAGTAAATTTAAAAGCACCAAAGGAAAATACTTTTTCCAGAATGAATATATAGCTTGTGGAACTCTCTGCCCACAAAGTCACCCAGGGAAATACTGTGGCTTGGATAAACAATGGCCTGTATAATTGTGTGACTGCTGTTAATAGTCTGTGCATTCTGCAAGATAACAGCCTGATTCAGGTAGTCCTGTCTCATGCCTATGGACAGGTTGTTCCTCAGCAGGGATTTTGAGGGATTTCCCCCACAGACAGCACTGCTCCATTATACACCTCTACCTCGATATAACGCTGTCCTTGGGAGCCAAAAAATCTTACCGCGTTATAGATGAAACCGCGTTATATCGAACTTGCTTTGATCCACCGGAGTGCGCAGCCCTGCCCCCACGGAGCATTGCTTTACCGCATTATATCCGAATTCATGTTATATCGGGTCGCGTTATATTGGGGTAGAGGTGTATATGGAATCTTTGCCTACTTGGATTTACTTGCCTATTTTAATTGCTAACAAAACCAAAGAAAGTGCTTGTCCTGAAGTGCAGTTTAGGTGTCCCACTAGATCCCAACTGCATTTAAGTAGCCAATTGGCTACTGGAACAAAGTTTTCCCTGCAGTTGGCATGGAAACTGTGACCTGCTGGATTAAATATCAGGTGCAGGGGACAGGGCATTTTCAATGAGGAGCCCTTGACAATAGAATTCACTTGTACCACAGGGCCTAAGTCTGCTGGCTGTCAGTGCATGCAGCAAGAGGCATCTCTTTGCAGAAGCTTTGACTGCAGGGGTGGGGCTTGGCTGAGTTTCTTATGCTGGGTTATGGGTTTGATGCTGGCCAACTGTTATTGTGCTATGTGATACGTGTGTATTTTTGCATACACACTCAGAGATGTTTGATAAGAGCTATTTATAAATCTAATTAATTACATTAAAGACTTTTTTTTCACCTTCCTTTGAAGCATCAGTAACTGGCCATTTCTGTGGCAGGATACTGGCTTGGATGGACCAATAATCTGATCTAGTCTGACAGGAGATGGGATACCAGACTAGGGAGAGTCTGAAGTGGTGTGACAGATCCTATTTACCTCTCATCCCAAATGGGAGAGGTCTCTAGACACAGCAGTAATAGAAATAATCTAAGGCTAAAAACAAATAAGGATAAGAACTTGTCTGTTTCGTTCACCTGTTGCATCCTGTCTGACATGTACATTGTCAACTCCCTGGGGCAGGGACTGTCAGCTGTGTTGGGCCCTACTCCAATGGGCCCTGATCCTTGATTGGGTTATAGGCACTGCCATACTGTCACTCATAGTAATAATTAAAGACAACCTTTGTTTAAAGTCAGCGTATAGGATTCTGCTTGGGAACCCCTTCCTACAAATCCGGATGCCTTCCAGCACACCGTTACACCGCAGCTGGTGCATCACCAGGTGATGGTCCATTATACCTTAAACAAGATAAAACAGCAATGACTGTCAACACTTGCACACAGGCGCTTCTCATTCCAAAGGATCCCAAACTGATCAGCACTCAGAAATCTCTCCTTCTACTGAAATGCAGCCACCTCAAGGGCAAAAGACAGCAGCTGTCTAACAATGAGACTGCGCAATGCCTAGGACAGGAAGCGAAGATGAAGGGAGGATCACACTGAAGCTGCAGAGGAAAGTTTGAGTAGCAACTGCTCAAGGTGGGAGTTGTACAGGACACTAGGGCTGGCACAACCCCCCTTGCAAAGAGTGCCTGGGAGTCTCCACTGGCTGCAAGTTAATGGGGACTGAGCTCATCTCAAAGATAGCAGAACCAGGCCTAGCCTAGAAACTGCCCTAACAGGCCAGCTGAGAACTCCCTACCTAGTGTTGGGGTATCCACACTTGGTGTGCAGAGCTGGCTCAGTGCCTTAACATACAGGGTTTGTCAGGAATAAGGGTTGTGTGGGGAAGGGGGCAGGACTGGGGTACACTGTGCCTTGGGAATACTCCACATAGTGGAATGGCCTGTAGGGGGCCATGGCAGCTAGTGTGAATGTGTGAGGTTTGGTCATTAGTGGAGTGTGACAATATGTGATCTCTGGTCAGTTTATGAGCATGTGTGTAGGTTCTTTTATTGTTTTTAATATATTTTCTCTGTAATGCTTTTATCTCAAGAATAAATGTGCTTTCCTAGACAGAGCTGGGTGGTAACTTAACTGTGACAATTACCCTGTTCGTAGCTTTCGAAGAGAAAGCAAAGCAGAGCAGGCTGGCTTAGGCAGTCTGACTTTGTTGGGCGGTCACAGTATAGAGAGGGACCTAAGAAGCCTGGAAATACCCCAGTCCGGAGGGAGAGACTAATGGGTCTGCCTAGGAGATGTGAAGGCTGAAGATCTGAAAGCCTAGGGTGGGTCCCTTGCTGGACCACAGAGGGGGAATACAGGTGCCATTGCCCTGAACGGTGACACACTCAACCCACTCCCGTATCCCACACCTACTCATCCTGCTCATTCCTGGCCAGCTACCCCTCCCCTTCCGGTACACTGCTCCAGACCCCTGGCATCTAATGGAAGGAAAGAGATAATCCTGTTCCTGGGGCTAAACCTGAGACCAACTGCAGCATTCAGCCACATTTCCCTCCTTTTGGTTCCATTCCACGGCCACTCACACAGGTTCTGCACATGTGACTGTTCCCAGGGAGCTAATTTATTGCCTAGAGATAAGATTCATTTAAATCAAGAAACCAAATGTGTTGCATGCCTGAATGGAATTTGTTTCAGGTGAAAGCCAAAGCCCATTAAAAGATGAAACTCACTGACCAAAGAACAGAAACAATACCATGTGATTTACATAACCAGAGTTTTCAAGTTATCCCAGATTGGAATGTGTTTGAGAAAGGGACCTGCCAAACAGTTCTACATGACACTCACATGCTAAATACCTGGTTACTTACTGACAATTCACAAGCAGGCTAAAGAGCTAAATAAGATCAATACACTGTTCACAACTAACAATTCAGCCAGCTCTACTCAGTGCCATGGCTCCATGGCCTAACCTGCAGTCTGGTTTGATAACTTACCAGGTGTCTTAGTTTCATTGGGAATGAGGCAGCGCACAAAGTGAGGATGGGTGCTTCTCAGGTTGGTCATCAACTTGTTCAAATTCTCCTGTGAGAGAGGAAACCAGGGCTCTGAATGCAGTGAAAGATAGTTTTATTTTGCATTTTCCTGTCCAATGACAGGGCATGCAGTGCAGTGTTGAAAAGTGCAACTCACGTACCCTGAACACAGCAGACACCGTCTGGAAGGAACCACCCTTCTTCTTAGCACCTTTCTTGCTACCCCCGCTATCACCTTGGGAGGAGACACCAGACATGTCAGAGCAGATAGTATGTTCTATAGGCAGGGTCTTCCCTTGTGCAATAAGGAACCAAATACGTACAGTGGAGTTTTTTAAGTGAAGTGCTGCTGTATAATGAAATGGCTGATTGTGAGCTAGTGCATGCCACACTCTGCAGTGGGATGCATGGCTTTGAGGGAAAGGCCCTCATGTCATGGGGCAGGTGTTTTTGGTGGTACAGCACACAGTGGCCTGGTATGCTTGAGTTTAGCGGGGAGCTGCCTGAATTTTAGCTTTGGGAGCAGCCTCAATTCTTTTAGTATTCAGGCCATCAAAGTCTTTTGCTCTTACTAATGCACTGGGTGCTCTAGAGGGGCACTGGTACATTCCCCCTTGCAGAGGGGGGTGGAGGGCAGTGTGCGGCCACATTTTGCTTCACCAGTGTTCTCTCAAGATGGAGGGAGGGCCACCAGAAAAGTGGCCATGGACTTAGCTATCAGCTGTGGAGCTTGCGTTCTTCTTACTGCGTGGGTTCTCTGGGTCATGGTGTAATGATTGGACCTCCACATTTACCTGAACTGTGAAAAGTGAATGAAAGTTCCTAAGATGGCACAATAACCTATAACAATAAATGGTGATAGGGAAAAGTGTAAAAGGGAGACAGACAGACTGGATTAGTCCAAACAAGGAAGACTATTGATACAACTCAAGGGCTGGGTTAAGATCATGTCTGGTAAACAAGAGAAGTGTGGGACCAGAAATCAGTTAACCACAATCGGATCCCTTTTGGGGTGGTTAAAAAAAACACACTTTTTGGAAGAAATTGTCTGACCACTTCTGCTGACTGGGACATGGGAGAGCCGGAAGGAGTGAGCTTCACTATCATGGCTACAACTCCTACCATCTCCTGGGACCCTGTGATCCACCATGACACTGTTGGGCCTTCATTGTTCTGATCTTGAGAGATGTCCAGACCAAATGGGGCCAGAGAGAGGGACCCAGATGACATTGCCACCTCTACTGGCTCCAGCTAAATCCCTAATACCACCTGGGAAATGAGATTTTGTTGCCTGCCCCACCCCTCGTCCCCTACGTGTTCTTTTCCTTCCCCAACTTATTTTCTCTTTCCTAACCCTCTACTTTTTCTTTCTGTCTAACAAGAGTACGGCTTAGCCAGCCAAGACTCTATATTTTGCAACACTGCTGTAAGCCTGTGACCAGAAAGCGGCAGCTAAAAGCAGTGTTCTTAGCACATGGCTGGTGAGATGAAGGCAGCTGGGGCACTTATGTCTTACTGCTATTGATTAACTTTAGGGAGCAAAAAAGAAGCTCTTTTCTGTGCTGGGATCTTGCCATCGAGTTGTGGGGCTGTGGACTGGTTTACTGGTTTGCTGTGTTTGGTTTGTTTGAAATATAGGCTTGGTGACTGATTGTCTAAGCAAAGTTGCCCTGCAGTTAGGGGAGTTAGTGCCAGATTTTAGCAAGGCTCTTGAAGTGAGAGCCTGGCAGTTTCTTTGATTAGGTCAGTGATTAGAGGCAGATGAGTGAGAGGGGGTGAGCCACTCATTCCAGCTGTGTGTGGGGCCCAAACTTTAAGAAGTGTGCTGGCTCCCAGTGGCAGGGAGGATGAAGGCAGCTGGGAGTCTGAGGGAATTAGCCAGCTCAGTTCACCAGCAGAGGAAGGCTGGGAGATAGGGCTTTTACACTTTAACTTGCAGGTACTCTACAAAGAAGAGACTTTAGCTCCCAGTCATCTATTGGAAAAGTAATACAGCAAAACGTTCAGCAAGTTTTTGGAATGTATTGGGGACAACTTTTTGTTTTGGAAAGTGAAGGAAATAACCACAGGGACAGCCATTTTAGACTTGATTCAGATTAACAGGAAGGAATGGGTTGCAAATCTAAAGGTGGAAGGGAATTTGGGTGAAAGTGATCATGAAATGATAGGTTTCATGATTCTAAGGAAAGAAGGGAGTGAGAGTAGCAGAATAAGGACAAAGGACTTCAGCAAAGCAGACTTCAACAGACTCAGAGAACTAGTGGGTAAGGTCTCATGGGAAGAAAATCTAAGGGAAAAATAAGTTCACTAGAGCTGGTAGTTTCTCAAAGAGACAATATTAAAGGCACAACATCAAACTATCCTGATGTGAAGGAAAGACAGGAAGAACAGTAACAGGTGAATATGGCTCCATTAGGAGCTCTGTGATCACTTTAAAATCAAAAAGGAACCCTACAAAAAGTGGAAACATGGATGAACGCTAAGGAGGAGTACAAAAGAATAGCACAAGCATGTAGAGACAAAATCAGAAAGGCTAAGGCACAAAATAACTTAGAGAGAAAGACAAAGGAAAGTGTAGGCCCTCTACTTAGTGGGAAAGGAGAACTACTAATGGAGAACACCGAGAAGGCTGAGTGTTTAATGCCTATATTGCCTCTCCTACCTAATTGCCCTCTTTGACAGGTTTCTGGACATGCGGATGGGGGGAAGGGGAAGCAATAGATATAATATATCGTGATTTTAGTAAGGCTTTTTACACAGTCCCACATGACATTCTCACAAGCAAACTATGGAAATGTGATCTAGATGAAATTACTATAGGGTGTGTGCATAACTTTTTGAAAAAAAAGTACTCAAAGAGTAGTTATCAATGGTCAAACTGGGAGGACATCTCCACTGGGGTCTCTCAAGGATCTGCCCTGGGTCCAATACTATTTAATATTTTCATAAACAATTTGAACAATGGAGTGGGGAGTATACTTATTAAATCTGTGGGTGACACCAAGCTGAGAGAGGATGCAAGCACTTTAATCCTATCCTCCAGAATTCAAATCAACCTTGACAAAATGGAGAATTGGTCTGAAATCAACAAGATGAAATTCAGTAAAGACAAGTGCATAGTACTTCACTTGGGAAGGAAAAATCAAATGCACAACTACAAAATGGGGAGTAACTGGCTTGATGGTAGAATTGTTGCAAAGGATTCTGGGTTACAGTGGATCACAAATTGAATATGAGACAATAATGTGATGCAGTTGCTAAAAAGGCTAATACCATTGGGGGGAGGGGGAATGTTAACAAAGGTAATGTAGGTCATTGTCTCACTCTGTTCGGCACTGGTGAGGCCCCAGCTGAAGTAATGTGTCCAGTTCCGGGTGCCACACTTTAGTAAAGATGTGGATCAATTGTAGAGAGTCCCGAGGAGAGCAACAAAACTGATAAATTTATGAGGAAAGGTTTAAAAAATTGGACATGTTTAAGTCTTGTGAAATGAAGACACAATGGAGATTCTTGTTTCTATTCAGTGATAACTAGAGCTGAAAACACTGGTGAGCAGGCCTAGGGGCTGAGCTTTAGATCTGGTGTGGGGCCAGTGTTGCCATGAAAGACAACTCAAAGGCTGTAGCAATAGTGAGATTCCCCACTATGGGGTGAAATCACTAAGCCTGTAATCTCTGGGCTAAATGGTGGAAGCTCAGAACAGGCCACCACAGCTGGAGGTAGAGGCGGCAGCAAGCAGCGGCAGAGGTGGCAGCAGTGGCAAGCTGCTACAGCGGCCTCATTCAAACCATCCCTGCAGGGGTGGGAGGTGAACTCATCTGAATGCATCCCTGGATTCAGGACTTCGATGATCTCAGACAACAAAACGTGTGGGGTGCAGTGGACGGAACAGGGAATGGTGTTATAGGGACATTCATTCATTGGAATTTCACACTGCAAGGTGGGAAACTGAGGCAAACAACTTCTGCCCAAAGGGCTGTGGAGCAGGTGTTTACTTATTTGCGTAATTTGTAATCATTCTTGCAGTGTTTCCCCAAATTAAGGCTGTATTCCCTCTGCTCTTAATAAAAGTTCTCTCTTGTAATAAGTAGACTCAGTGCTAGCATTGCTCCATCAAGGCACCTGGGGTGGTGGTTAGTTTTCCCTGATTTCTGGGTGGGGGCTCAAGCTGCTTTTGTTTTATAATGTTAAAGGGACCCTGAGATATTAAACCCAAACCTTATTGCTGCCAGCAGCCCTGGCGGAAGGGTACATATATCTAGCAGCTGACAGGAGCTGTATTGCTGGGGCTGACTGTTTATTGACAGGAGGGTGTCTGGAGTGGCAGAGGGCTGCAGCTGTCATCAGCGGTGGCTCCAGGCACCAGCACTCCAAGCGCGTGCCTGGGGCGGGCAAGCTGCGGGGGGCGCCCTGCCGGTCCCTACGAGGGCGGCAGTCAGGCAGCCTTCAGCGGCATGCCTGCGGGAGGTCCGCTGGTCCCGCGGATTCTGTGGAGGGTATGCTGAAGCTGTGGGACCGGCGGACCTCCCGCAGGCATGACGCCGAATCTGCGGGACCAGGGACCTCCCGAAGGCAGCCTGCCTGCCGTGCTTGGAGCGGCAAAAAAGCTAGAGCCGCCCCTGGCTGTCATTCCCTCATATCTTTCTGTGCTGTGTCAGAGGCTTGGCTGCTGCATAGGGCAGCCATGAGGCATCTGGTTCTCCAGGACCAGAAACCTTTGAGGGTATCCCATGGGGTGAGTGTCCACCTCTATTCTGGGTGACTGTGGGCAAGTCACCTCATCGCTCTGTGCCTTACTTTCCCCATCTGTAAACCAGGGATAATGACTGACTGATCTCCATTAAAAAGCGCTGTACAAATGCTGGGTATTATTATTATTGCTCAGTTCTGTACAGGTTCTTACACCACACTCCTCACCATGCTCTGTGAGTGCTTTCCAGTTGTGCATTGAGCACACCTGTCACATGCTTGTTCTCTCATCCTCTCCTCAGGGGAAGGGAGTGGGGAAGGGAGTGTTTGTTCGGGATTTTTAAGACAATACATATCTATACCAGTCGCCATATGTTTCTGTTAGAGAAGTGTCCTTAGAGTGGAAGGTGGGAAGGTTTGGGATGGTCCTTAGTTCCCAGGGGAGTTTATTCCACAGCTTGGGCTGGCCCCTGGGAAAGCGCTGTCTCCTGATTCCCTGTGCTGTGTTTGCTCCAGGTCTGCCGCACTTGAACCTGGCTGTCTTTCCCAATTGTGCCAATGGCTCCTAAGCCTTCCTCACTTTGAGCACATGCCTGCACTACCACGAAGAGGGCATACCTGTACCTGTTTCTGTACCAGCATAGTTAGAGTAGAGGAAGGACAGCAGTTTCAGTGATGATTTCTGGTACAGTCCCACGACAGTTTCATTCAGGGGATCTTTGTTCTTGTCGAGCCAGCCTGAGATGTTGTAGTCCACAGTGGCAGCATAGTGCACCAGGGCGAAGTGGGCCTCAGCCTTTCCTTTGACAGGTTTGGGCTTCTGGAAGTTGTTGGACTTGCCAAGATGCTGGTCATAGAGCTTGTTCTTGAAAGACACATCAGTTGCCTTGGGGAACATGCACTCCTCTTCCAGGATGGAGAAAATACCCATTGGCTGAAAGACACAGCAACAGAGAGAGAGAGAGAGAGAGAGAGAGAGAGATCACAAACTGGCCTCCCGGATGTGATCATCTGATTATCATGGTCTGTATCAGAATAGGATATTGTTTCAGTGGATTTAACAATGCCACTAATAGTGACTGTGGGAAGTGAACAGCAATATCTATCTTTGTATCTTTGCATATAAAGTCAGTGATGTGCACTATAGCTAATGACTAACTTTCCTCTCCCATGACTTTTTCTTTTATTGTCATCTCATTCCAAGAAATGGAAATAAAAGTGAAAGCCAGAGAGGAATCTGTCTGGAAGGTTTCAGTATATGCATTGCAGGGATGAGGTTGCAGTTTTACTATATAGTGGTTGCCATTATAAATGTAGGGTGTCTTTTGCTTCACTAATGTTAGTGTGGTAACTTCTGTATCTCCTTTGTTAATGTTAATTACTTAGAAACAACAATTTTGAAGACTTTAATGATAAACACCAAACGTGCTGGGTCAGATTCACTCCAGTGAGTGCTGGGGGTGAACGTTTCAATGATTCCACATTGCTGAACAGCCACATACTAAGTATGATGTTTTCAGATGGTTTTGGAATTGTTCTAGTATTTAAAAGTATTTTTTTAATGTGGAGACTATTTTATCAGAGCTTCTAAACTGATTTTGCTCAAGTTCCCTCCAACCAAGCACATGACATTTCAGCCCAAATGGGAATATTTTGAGACATTCAGATATATAGGGGAGCAGCAGAGTGATGCCGCCAGCGTTGCTTGGGGAGATAATGATGGGGGTTCAACCACTTCGGATGGAGCTTTCATCCAAGCTGTTCTAGGGAGAGATGGCATAAACCACCATAGAGCCACTGACTATGCTGGAGATGGTGATTGACACCTGCTGAGGATCTGTCCCAGAGTGTATTATAGAAATAAATCTCTGTGAATTTTGCTCGTAATCCAGACTAAATTGTTTTAAATTTAGTAAAATGGCCTCAGATCTCGTCTAAGGACTTGTCTACACTGGCAGCAGCGTGTAGGGTACATGTAGTTACACATCATAGTGAAAGGCAGGCTGCACGTGTAGCTACATGCAGCAGGGAGAAGGCAGCAGGACACTACACTGCTAAAACGTAGACAGAGGAGGCCTAGCTTGGGCGAGTAAAGAGCTGTGTAGGGACATACCCACAGGATTCAGGCATGTCTTTACTCTGCCTCCTAAGCCAGACCTCACCATCTACACTGCTATTGTTACCCCTGCTAGCTGGGTGTGCAGGGTCTGTGCGCCACATGCCGCTGCAAATGAAATCCTACTCTATGGTGGAAAGGGCCTGAAAGAGTCAGTGTCAGGACCACCCAGACATCGGGCAGCCACTGGGTGTTGAATGTGATCAGTGGCTGTTGGGTGCGATTAATGGGTGAGAATACTGGATGGTGGCTGAGTGCAGGGCATAAATGTGGGTGGTTGTGTGGGAGTGCTGGGCATGAATGTAATACCTCGTTCTAATTTTGGTTGTTGGGTTTAGTGTGAGGGTGGTTCTGGTGGCCTGACCTCCTGCATATCACAAATGAGGTGATCTGGTGGTCCTTAAACCGTCATTCTGTGACTGTTGGACGTTGGGCAGTATGGTTAACTGTTAGTGTTGGATGTTGAGTATGAATGCTGGGTGGCCGTGTGAATGTACATTTTGGATGCTTGGTGTGAAGTTGGACAGTGGGTGTGAATAACGCTGGCACATGTCGGTTTCTGGGTATGAAACTCAGATATTCGAGGTGAATGTGGGACATTGGGATGAATGTTGCCGTCGTTTATGAATTCTTTGTTGTTGTGAGAAATAGACTGGAGCAACCTTAACTATAAGTTAATGACATTTGAGTGTATGGGAAACATCTACGTTTCAAACATGCCCATAACAATAGTACCTGAGCACAGGGTTGCCCAAAGGGAGTGGCAGTTTGCCCAGGACCATCTGTTTGAGAGGACCCCCAAACAGAGCCATGGTGTGACATCGCGCACCAGGACACAACATCACATACTGACATTTGACCCAGCACCCTCTGTCATGATGAAAGGGCTGCCAGGCCAAACCCAAGTGGCGCTGTGACCCCGCATGCCAGGTCGCAACGCCTGAAGTGGGGAGCTGGGCCCAGCCCCGCAGGACAGGAGCTGAGCCGCTGCTGCTGGGGTGGTGTAGTGCAGGAGCCTTCCCCTCCCAGGGCCTGGTCTTAGTGGTAATTTTTTTGAAGGATGCGGGGCCCTTTAAGATTAAGATTTTGCTCTGGGCCCTTAAAAACCTCTGGGCAGCCCTGCCTGAGCATCAGACATATAGGTAAGAGATACACCAGCTTAATGAAGAGAAGATGAAGAGGTGACTTGATTACAGTCTATAAATATCTACATGGGGAACAAATATTTATTAATCAGCTCTTCAGTCTAGCAGAGAATCAAAGAAAGGTCTAACACGATCCAATGACTGGAAGCTGAAGCTAAACAAATTCAGACTGGGAATTAGGTGCACATTTTTAATGGTGAGAGTAATCAACCATTGGAACAATTTACCAAGGATTGTAATGGATTCCCCATCACTGACAACTTTAAAGTCAAGATTTGACGTTTTCCTGAAAGATCTACTCTAGGAATTATTTTGGGGAAGTTCTCAGAGAAGGGGCGTTCAGATTAGATGATCATAATGGTCCCTTCTGACCTTGGAATCTAATGAACCAAGTTTTTTTTCCTTTCCTTCACAGCCCCTTTTTAAAAGGAAAATAAATCCTGGTCATTGTCTTATTTTCTCCCCAAAGTTTTATTTCTAAATTTTAAAATGCATGGAGTAAAAAAACAAGTAGAAACAAAAACAACAACAACAAAAGGCAAATTCAGACTGCAGGTAAATTTTCCAGAGCTCCATTCTCAAAAGTGACCTATTAGATGCATATAAGCTTCAGTCTTACTGAAAGTCAATGCACTGCAGGCTCTGAAGGAACAATTTTTCAAATGAATTGAGGCACCTAAAGGTGCAGAGAGATACCTAGTGGGATTTTTAAAGCCAACTTCTCCTGAAATCATCCCCTTGTTTCGGGATGGGGTGATATTAAAAAGCTTTGATTTTAAACCAGTCTCCCTCTACACAGTGTCCAGCCTGACCCAAAATGACTAGAAGAAAATTTGTTTTTCCTTTATCCAGAGACACTTCACTTTACCTTCTCAATGAGCTCAATGCAGGCAGCCAAGTCCATCCCAAAGTCAATGAACTCCCATTCGATTCCTTCCTTCTTGTACTCCTCCTGCTCCAGCACAAACATGTGATGGTTGAAAAACTGTTGCAGTTTCTCATTGGTGAAGTTGATGCACAGCTGCTCCAGGCTGTTAAACTGAACATTCAAAACACAAAGCAGTGCTGATTAATTTGGACAAGTAGGACATTTCATTAATAAGCAAACATTGCTATAACTCACATCAAAGATCTCAAAGCCAGCAATGTCCAGGACACCAATAAAATGCTGCCTGGGCTGCTTGGTATCCAGCTGCTGGTTGATGCGTGTGACCATCCATAGGAACATCTTCTCATAGACCGACTTAGCTAGAGCCCCCACTGAATTGTGCACCTGCCAGAGACACCGCCATAGCAAGAATTAGAGATCAGCTAGCCTCTAAAGTTGAAACAACTCTCTGAATAAAATGGAAAGCAAAAGCTAGTGGCGCAGTACCTGCTGGACATTTTGTCCTTTGGTTACATATTCATTCCCAACTTTCACCCTTGGATAGCACAAGGCCTTCAGTAAGTCAGCAGAGTTCAGACCCATCAGGTAACCGATTTTGTCAGCCACTACCAAAAAGGAAGGAACTCAGCTTTAGACAAAGTCTAGAAAAGATTTCTCAGGTCCTCTAGTCTGGTAGCAACTCCCCACTTTGGGCCCAACTCAGCTCCTGCACAGTTCAATAGGAGTTTTGTCACTGACTTCAGTGGAAAGCAGTTCATGCCCTATATTTATTATCAGTTATTAATATTAATATTAGTATTATTTTATTAACACAAGCATAAACTACACTGAATGACCGTTCAGGTTGCATGAGGGCACTCAGAGCCTTAATGCATGCAGATCAGAAATGAAAAAAAAAATCTCCAGCATTCATTGCCACCTTCACGGTGCCTATAACCCTAGCGATAACATACTCTCCAGTGCTCCATATGGCCTTCACTTCCATCACCAGCAGTACACACCCCAACTCTATCCAACTCACTTTAGTGCAAAAATTTAACTCGACTCACATTCTTGTGTATGGAGAATCAGGCACATCTGACTGCCACATGATCCGCTTCCACCTTAACACTGCTGAAGTCACTAGTCAGCTAGTTATCTTAGGTGCCTGTACACGAAAGCAAGAAGCCTGGGAAACAAGCAGGAAGAATTGGAAGTCTTGGCACAGTCAAAGAACTATGATGTGATTGGAATAACAGAGACTTGGTGGGGTAACTCACATGACTAGAGCACTGTCGTGGATGGGTATAAACTGTTCAGGAAGGACAGGCGGGGGAGAAAAGGTGGAGGAGTTGCACTGTATGTAAGAGAGCAGTATGATTGCTGAGAGCTCCAGTAAGAAACTGGAGAAAAGCCTGTTGAGAGTCTTTGGGTTAAGTTGAGAGTCTTTGGGTTAAGTTTAGGGGCAAGAACAATAAGGGTGATGTCATGGTGGGCATCTGCTACAGACCACCAGACCAGGAGGATGAGGTAGACAAGGCTTTCTTTGGACAACTAACAGAAGTTTCCAGATCACAGGCCCTGGTTCTCATGGGGGACTTCAATCACCCTGACATCTGCTGGGAGAGCAATACAGCAGTGCACAGACAATGCAGGAAGTTTTTGGAGAGTATTGGGGACAACTTCCTTGTACAAGTGCTGGAGGAACCAACTAGGGGCCGTGCTCCTCTTGACCTGCTGCTCACAAACAGGGAAGAATTGGTAGGGGAAGTAGAAGTGGGTGGCAACCTGGGCAGCAGTGACCATGAGATGGTTGAGTTCAGGATCCTGATGAAAGGAAGAAAGGAGAGCAGCAGAATATGGACCCTGGTCTTCAGAAAAGCAGACTTTGACTCCCACAGGGAACTGATGGAAAGGATCCCCTGGGAGCTAATATGAGGGGGAAAGAAGTCCAGGAGAGCTGTCCATTTCAAGAAGGATGGTATTTTAAGGAGCCTTATTGAGGGCACAGGAACAAACCATCCTGATGTGCAGAAAGAATAGCAAATTGGTAAGCGACCAGCTTTGCTTAACAGCGAAATCTTCGGTGAGCTTAAACACAAAAAGGAAGCTTACAAGAAGTGGAAACTTGGACAGATGATTAGGGAGGAGAATAAAAATATTGCTCGAGCATGCAGAGGTGTAATCAGGAAGGCCAAAGCACAATTGGAGTTGCAGCTAGCAAGGGGATGTGGGGGGTAACAAGAAGGATTTCTACAGGTATGTTAGCAACAAGAAGAAGGTCAAGGAACCCTTACTGAATGGGGGAGGCAACCTAGTGACAGATGATGTGGAAAAAGCTGAAGTACTCAATGTTTTTTTTGGCCTCAGTCTTCACAGACAAGGTCAGCTCCCAGACTGCTTCACTGAGCAGCACAGTATGGGGAGGAGGTGAGCAGCCATCAGTGGTGAAAGGACAGGTTAAGAACTGTTTAGAAAAGCTGGACATGCACAAGTCCATGGGGCCGGATGCACTGCATCTGAGGGTGCTGAGGGAGTTGGCTGATATGATGGCATGTTGGGAGAGGTCCTGGATGATTGGAAAAAGGCAAATACAGTGCCCAGCTTTAAAAAAGGGAAGAAGGAGAATCTGGGGAACTACACACACACAGCCTCACCTCAGTCCATGGAAAAATCATAAAGCAGGTCCTCAAGGAATCCATTTTGAAGCACTTGGAGGAGAGGAAGGTGATCAGGAACAGTCAGCATGGATTCACCAAGGGCAAGTCATGCCTGACCAACCTGATTGCCTTCTATGATGAGATAACTGGCCCTGTGGATATGGGGAAAGTGGTGGACTTGATATACCTTGACTTTAGCAAAGCTTTTGATACAGTCTCCCACAATATTCTTGCCAGCAATTTAAAGAAGTATGGATTGGATGAATGGACCATAAGGTGGATAGAAAGCTGGCTAGATCGTCAGGCTCAACAGATAGTGATCAATGGCTCAATGTCTAGCTGGCAACCGGTATCAAGCAGAGTGCCCCAGGGGTTGGTCCTGGGGCTGGTTTTGTTCAACATCTTCATTAATGATCTGGATGATGGGATGAATTGCATCCTCAGCAAGTTCGTGGATGACACTAACCTGGGGGGAGAGGTAGATACGCTGGATGGAGAAAGGGGATGGACAACTCCAGCTTTTGTAAAGGAAAATAATTGAAGTGCCCAGACCATATGTGTTCGAGATCAACTGTGGAGAGTTCGACAGAAACCATCGACATCTACAGTTTGTTCCTCAGAAAGAACAATCAAAGCAAACTCTACAGATGGCACGTGCAGAAGAAGAAGACAGATTCCAAATCAACCAGAGACAGTTGTTGCAGCTACTGGACAGCCAGATGCCAAAGTTGTTATGTGTTTGGAAAACAAGTACAATTCAGAGACCCTTAACAGACTGATCCATGCTGAACTTTAAAGACAATGTGACAGTGTAAATTTTGTAAATGATAGGAATGGTAAAAATTTAGAGGGAGCTGTAACAGAATGTTAAGCTGTATTATAATGTTCAGCCACTGGGTGGAGCCTGTATAACATACAGTACTTAATTTCATTGTTTGCTGTGTTGTTGTAGCCATGTTGGGCCCAGGACATTAGAGGAACAAAGTGTGTGAGGTCCTACCTTTTATTGGACCAACTTCTGCTGGTGAAAGAGACAAGCTTTCAAGCTACCACAGAGCTCTTCGTCAGGACCACGTAAGCGCGAAAGCTTGTTTCTTTCACCAACAGAAGTTGGTCCATTAAAATGATATTACCTAACCAACCTTGTTGTTCTAATGTCTCACAACAGCCATTCAAGGCAGTGCATTAAAATGTCTTATAGTGACCATACCTCTGGTATAATCTCTCTGGGAAGGAAGCCATGTAGCCAGTCCATATCTTGGACAAGAGCCTGACCTGCTAGTAGCAGGCCTGCAATCTACCATGTACAAGGTGTCCATAACAAGTCCTGACCCCATTGACAGCCCTGGGACCTGACTTATTGACAGCCCTAGGACCTGACTTTCACCCTCTGTCCATAGAACAGGAAGCAGGGACAGCAGCAATATGCTTCTCTCCCATGCATCAGCCACATCCTGGAGAGGCCATGGCTAGGTGAAAGGAAAGGCATTCCCCATGGCCCCTGCTGATAGCTGTACCAGGTGGGTAATATTGCTGTGAACATTCCCCCAGAGCATGTCAACCCAGGGGTCGCACTTCCTGACAGCTTTACCTTCGGTGCCATCTGGCTCTGCCTGCTCCTCTCGTTGCTTCTGCTTGAACTTTAAGTTCCCATAGTGCATGACTGCCCCTGTCATCTTGTAGATTCCCACCTTCTCCTCAGGGTTGAAGCCCAGGATTTCAATGGCACTCTGCGTAGAGGAACCAGGACAGTCAAACAGCACAAGGGTTCAAATAGACAGCTGAACTGTAAACCCCTTGGGGCAGGGCTTTGACAGGAAAATGGGCCTTGCCCTAGGTTGGGTTCCCTGCACACAACCACCCCTGGCATCTTGCTTGGCCGATGCCTGTCCTGGTGCTTTTCAGGCACTGGGAGGGAGGGAGTGCGGCAATTCTAAAAATATCTTTTGTTTTAATTACAATTCTCCTTGTGGTCAGGTGAAAACAGCCTAAGCTACTTACATTTCTGCCCTGGCAGGAAACAGCAGGGACTATTGTCAATTAGCAGTAACTAGGTGAGATTTGCTTTATGGATATAATTTTCTGACTGCAATGATCATTAGGAGCCACTGGGGGGCGAAAAAGACCATGTCCTGGGTTCTTCACAGCCAGGTTTCCCCTGGTAATACAGCAAAACTTCAGTGTTATGAACACCTAGGGTGACCAGATGTCCCGATTTTATAGGGACAGTCCCGATTTTTGGGTCTTTTTCTTATATAGGCTCCTATTACCCCCCACCCCCTGTCCCAGTTTTTCACATTTGCTGTCTGGTCATCCTATGAACACCAGAGTTACGAACTGGCCAGTCAACCGCACACCTCATTTGGAATGGGAAGTACACAATCAGGCAGCAGCGGAGACACACACACAAAAAGCAAATACAGAACAGTACTGTGATAAACGTAAACTATTTAAAAAAAGGGGGTGGGGAAGTAGCATTTTTCTTCTGCATAGTAAAGTTTCAAAGCTGTATTAAGTCAATGCTCAGTTGTAAACTTTTGAAAGAGCCACCATAATGTTTTGTTCAGAGTTACGAACATTTCAGAGTTCCGGAGGTGTTCGTAACTCTGAGGTTCTACTGCAGCTGAAATAGCATCTTAAGCAGTAAGGCAGCAATGTATGGGACACTGGCAGCACTTCCCCACCAGACCATCTCATGAATCAGAGACCCAGCATCACACCCCTCCCCTTCCCGTGTCCCTGCCAGGTGCAGCAGTACTGCAGGCTGCACTGTGGATGGAGCAGATGCGAACTGCCCATTGGGGCAGGGAACGTGTGTTCCATGTTTGGACAGCACCTAGTCCAGTGAGGTCCTGGCTGGGCCAGGGCTCTGAGATGCTTTGGTAATACAAATCACAATGACTGGCAGAGCAGGAAGGGGATGGATCTGCAGCTGCATTCTGCTAGTGCTGTTACTGCCTTTCAGACCAAGTTCACCCCGTTCAGGTTACAAAAAGTCTCTCTTCCAAGTGATGATGAGGTTCCTGTGTGTGACTGGAAAGCGGGTGTGTGGGAGGCAGGGAATGGGAGGGCTGAGTGGCACCATTTCCCAGGACCTAGCAGCCCCTGCAGCTTTGGGCCAGCTCTCACTTCTCCAATCCATCATTCTCATGCACCGTATAAAATGTCTGTTAGTCAAACTCCTCCCTCGACTCAGGGGCTGTCCTGAGCTGTGATGCAAACCAAGGGCTTGTGCACATGCTAGGTGAGGGGTGTCTTTAGCCCTGTGGGTAAGGCATTTGCTTAGGATGTGGAATACCAGCGTTCAAATCCTAACTCTAAAGCAGCAACTTGAGCTCAGCTTTCCCCGCTGGGAGCACCTACCCAGCAGACTGTAGGTTATGCTGCTCTCAGTCTCACCTGCTGCAGGTGTTCCCCTTTGTATAAGTACAGAAATAGTCCTTGCTCAACACGTGTGTGAGCATGATTCTATAGCCTGGTGACTGAGGCACTTCGATAGAAGATGTGGCTTCAAGCCCATATCAGATCTGCCTGGAAGTTAGGAGTCATGTGGATCCTGATCTGAGCTTTGCCGCTTGGGCCCATGTGTCATATTTACAGGTGCTGGGCCTTGGACAAAAGTTTGGTGAGCAAGATAAGTTTTTGGATAAAACTGGAGGCCAAACAACTAATGAGTAACGATGTGTCCAGGCTGAGAAGGATTTTGTCATCTGAGCTGGTTGGGCAGCAGATCTATGACACATCAGTGCAGCATAAAGGGGACAAAACTCTGGTTGTCCAGCACATGAATCAGGAGAAGGGTTTAGGAGTTATTAGGAAAAATCCCTTTGAAACCATCTTCCCACAGCACAAATGCAGTAACGAAGCCACACACGGTATGAGATTGGATTGCAAAGGGGCAGAAGCAAAGATTACAGTGCTATTGGGCCAAATCCATCCCTCGTGTGACTTTGTGGTGCTCATTGGATTTCTGCGAGGGATAGCGCTGACCCCACGCAATGCCAAAGGGTTTGCTAGACCCTGTTGCTTCCTGTCTGTGCATGAGCTGATTACCTCAGTAGCAAAGGGGGAACTCTGGGGTGACCTTTTCAGTATTATGAAAAGGTCTGATAATGTTGGGAGGGGCAAGGGCCATCTCTCCCACACACACACACACACACACAAACACACTGCCAAAGAGGTGCTCAGACCCAGGGACAGAGTATCCATATGGGGCACCAGGAGGAGAGGGGAGCTGCATTTGTGTTAGTGTCCTCCCCTGTTATTGGGCTGGAGGCAGGCACCATGGTTACGTCTGGAGGGGGCAGACTGGTGAGCACAATGGGTCCTTCTGGCCTTAACATCTATAGATCTATGCATTTAGAGAAGTCAGTGGAACTCCTCTTGTGTATAAGCATATATAGGATCATGCCCCAAAGGGCCTAGGTCTGGGAGGTGCTGAGTGCCTTCTGTCCCAGTTATATGGCTGGGGAGGTATGTGCACTCAGCACCTGTGAAGAGCATGAGTGGTTTGTAGTACAAGGAGCAGGATTGATGGGGGCAGAAAGGTGGGGTCAATGGCCAGCATTTCGGCCAGACCATCCAAATATGCCTAATTCCCCTGCTATACATAGTATTAATGATTTGTATTACCAAGCACCTAGGAGCCTCTGCCATGGACAGGACCCCAATGTGCCAGGTGCTGTACAGCCACAGAGAGAAGAGATGCTCCCTACCCCGCTATGATACTCACATCTGTAGCCATCAGCTCCTCACTGTCATCGATGCTGGCGACAGTGAGTTCGCCCTGGCTCACAAAGGGGAAGTCGTAGGGGTTGGTGGAAATGAGAAGCAGATCTGCAAACAAACAACGTGTCATTAGCTTCAGAGTCACAGGCCCAGGAGAATGGCTACATGGTTCGAATGTCATCGAACTAAACACAGCATGGCCAGCACTTACCAATGAGCTCGGGCTTCTTATTGGACATTATCTGGTAAAAAATATGATAGCTCCTTTCACTAGCCAACTGAAATGTTACCCGGGATTTCTCCAGGAGATCTAACGGGGCAAAGAGTCAGACAGTTATTGTCCCAGGCAAATTCATTACCAATACTGTTCAAATACTGCCCATAAGAGCTTACTGCCACTCACAAGTTTCAATATCTGCTGAAGCCAGCTTCCCTGTGGTCCCAAAGTGGATCCGGATGAATTTGCCCTGTTGAATTATACAAACCCAAATCAACACTCATGCTGTGCACTGAGCAGCTACAGCGGTCAGTGTATTTCATGTGGGATATGTTCTTTGCCTACACTCCAACAATTGAAATGAACTCACAAAGCGCGAGGAGTTGTCGTTCCTCACTGTCTTGGCATTGCCAAAGGCCTCCAGGAGCGGGTTGGCCTGGATGATTTGATCCTCCAGGGTTCCCTAGGTGCAGTACAAAGATTTCCCATTAAACCGTGCAGTCGCTTCAGGTGGAACTTTGGAAAGGAAACAGTACAAACCAAGCACCTGCAGATTCCACGACATCCCTCTTGGCTCTGGCTCAGTGAGGCCTTTAAGTACATGCCTAACTGTAAGCCTGCAAGTAGTCGCACCGACTTCAGTGGAGACCTGCTGAGAACCAGCCACTTCCTTAGGCGTCTTAGCTGAACCAGGGCCCACTATGGACATTTGCCATCACATACCCACCTGCCCACTGCCATTAATGAATGGGAAGTTCAGGGTTATGCTGGGATTTTCAAATCTGCCTCAGGGAATCAAGCTAGCCACTCCCACTCGCTGATGTCCAGTGGAAGGTGAGCATCTGACTCCCTTTCACGCTCCCAGGTGCCACCGCGCACAGCTGTCCCGTAGGCGTGCTATACCCCACACGCGCACAGCTGTCCCGTAGGCGTGTTATACCCCACAAGCGCACAGCAGTCCCGTAGGCATGTTATACCCCACAAGTGCACAGATGTCCCGTAGGTGTGTTATACCTCACAAGTGCACAGCTGTCCCGTAGGCGTGCTGTACCCCACACGCGCACAGCAGTCCCGTAGGCGTGCTGTACCCCGCAAGTGCACAGATGTCCCGTAGGCGTGTTATACCTCACAAGCGCACAGCTGTCCCGTAGGCATGCTGTACCCCACACGCGCACAGCAGTCCCGTAGGCGTGCTGTACCCCACATGCGCACAGCTGTCCCGTAGGTGTGCTGTATCCCACACGCGCACAGCTGTCCCGTAGGCGTGCTGTACCCCACAGAGACTTTCAGCTAAAAAACCCTCAGAAACTAAATGGTGAATTTAAATATTAGAAGCGGAAGAAATTTCAAAACCTTTGGGAAGGCATAGGAATAAAGCACTAATGTAGTGAGCCTATAGTGGAGAGGAGGCAGGGTTGTTTAACCAGTGGGGATGCTGGTCACTAAGGCCTTCACATCAAAAGAATATGGAAAAGCACCTGGAAAAATCATGGAGCAGGTCCTCAAGGAATCAATTATGAAACACTTAGAGGAGAGGAAAGTGATCAGAAACAGTCAGCATGGATTCACCAAGGGGAAGTCATGCCTGACTAACCTAATTGCCTTCTATGATGAGATAACTGGCTCTGTGGATGAGGGGAAAGCAGTGGATGTGTTATTCCTTGACTTTAGCAAAGATTTTGATACGGTCTCCCACAGTATTCTTGCCACCAAGTTAAAGAAGTATGGGCTGGATGAATGGACTGTAAGGTGGATAGAAAGCTAGCTAGTTCATCGGGCTCAACGGGTAGTGATCAATGGCTCCATGTCTAGTTGGCAGCCGGTTTCAAGCGGAGTGCCCCAAGGGTCGGTCCTGGGGCCGGTTTTGTTTAATATCTTTATTAATGATCTGGAGGATGGTGTGGACTGCACTCTCAGCAAGTTTGCAGATGACACTAAACTGGGAGGCGTGGTAGATACACTGGAGGGTAGGGATCGGATACAGAGGGACCTAGACAAATTAGAGGATTGGGCCAAAAAAAACCTGATGAGGTTCAACAAGGACAAGTGCAGAGTCCTGCACTTAGGACGGAAGAATCCTATGCACAGCTACAGACTAGGGACCGAATGGCTAGGTAGCAGTTCTGCAGAAAAGGACCTAGGGGTCACAGTGGACGAGAAGCTGGATATGAGTCAACAGTGTGCTCTTGTTGCCAAAAAGGCTAACGGCATTTTGGGCTGTATAAGTAGGGGCATTGCCAGCAGATCGAGGAACGTGATCGTTCTCCTTTATTTGACATTGGTGAGGCCTCATCTGGAGTACTGTGTCCAGTTTTGGGCCCCACACTACAAGAAGGATGTGGAAAAATTGGAAAGAGTCCAGCGGAGGGCAACAAAAATGATTAGGGGTCTGGAGCACATGACTTATGTGGAGAGGCTGAGGGAACTGGGATTGTTTAGTCTCCAGAAGAGAAGAATGAGGAGGGATTTGATAGCTGTTTTCAACTACCTGAAGGGGGGTTCCAAAGAGGATGGAGCTCGGCTGTTCTCAGTGGTGGCAGATGACAGAACAAGGAGCAATGGTCTCAAGTTGCAGTGGGGGAGGTCTAGGTTGGATATTAGGAAATACTATTTCACGAGGAGGGTGGTGAAGCACTGGAATGCATTACCTAGGGAGGTGGTGGAATCTCCTTCCTTGGAGGTTTTTAAGGCCCGGCTTGACAAAGCCCTGGCTGGGATGATTTAGTTGGGAATTGGTACCGCTTTGAGCAGGGGGATGGACTAGATGACCTCCTGAGGTCCCTTCCAACCCTGATATTCTATGATTCTATGATTCTATAAAAATCCTTGTGGCCCAGAGGCTACTCAAGAGAGTCCCAGCAGGCATGTACCTCCACGCCCCAAGTTGAAAAGGGACTAGGAAGGCAAGTTATGACCCAGCTGTGGTTGAAAGAGGGCGTTTGACTTGAAGAGAGTCCTTCTGACAATGGAAATGCAGCCTTAAGTGAGGCACTGGTAGGAAGGAAATTAGGAGGTTCAGATGGAATTTGAGGAGCAAATACCAAAGATATAAAATCAGACTTCAAGCGTTGCTATTCTTTATCAGAAGCAGGAAGCTGGTGTGAGAAGCTTTGGGTCCACTGGTCCACCTGGGAGCAATTAAGGAGAACAAAGATATTGCCGAGAGGCTAAATAATTGCTTTGCATCAGCCTTCACCACAAAGATACACGGACATACCTGCTCCTTTTGGTAATAAGGGTGAGGTTCGCTCAGGGGTGGAGGTTTCAAAAGAAGACATGTTGGAACAAACCGATACATTAAAGAGCACCAGGTCACCAGAAGCTTAACAATGAAGCACCTGAGCTGCTAGTGAATCATTTGGAATCTCATTAACATCAGCTCCTTTTCTGGAGTGTTGAAGGGTAGCAAATGTTGTTGCTAGAATTAGAGGCATCGGGGTGCCCCTGGGAATTACAGAGCAGGAAATGCTACTCTGGTATCAGCTGAGCAAGGCCTTTGTCAAGCCCCTCACAAGATGCTCTTAGCCTGTTAAGGAAATTGAGGACCAGATGGCGGCCATGACTCCCCCAGGGCATAGGGTGCCAGGCTCCGTGGTGCCAGCTACCCAGACTGCAGGTGGAAGCATGGGGGAGGAGAGTAGTCTCCTCTGGACCCCTGCCCCATGCAGTACATTCTTCACCAGGCAGAGTCATAGGCTGCTTCCTGGGTGACTCCTGGGGCAGCACAGCAGTACATGGCAAAGAATGGACTGACCCTGGAGACGGGAGATAAACAAGGTATAGAATATGATCAAGGTAAAGAAATAGTGATCAGTAGAGAGCGGCAGACAGGCTGAACAGAAATGCCCATTCGCACGCTACATGTCGGATGCTGTTATGCCACCAGGTGCCCTGGTATCGTTGAGAAGGAACAGTATTCTAGTCCTAGGAAGATTTCAGACCTGAATAAACTCATCAGAGGGCAGAGCAGGTTGTTGTGCATCTGAGAGGCTCTTACTTCTCCTTTACATTCAGTGCATGCTGCACAGCCCCCAGCTGGAGTTTAGATCAGCACCTACCTGGAGAGCAGCTGGTGAAAGCTGAGCTCAGGCAGGCCTGGTGGGAAGTGGGAAGTGCTTGTGAAGAACTCGCTACCCCCATAACAGCCTGACAACCCAAGGCATCGGCCTCAGATTGCTAAGAGTCTCCTTGGACTCTGCCCTGCCTTTGGACACTCAAATACTCCTGGAGCCAAAACCCCTTTGGTCTGTGCCCCTTTCTCTCTGACCATGGCAATCCATGCCCTGGTGCCATCTGGGCCTGGTTAATGCAGTTCTCTGTATTTCCTAATGAAGCCTTGTGCCCACAAGAAAGCTCCAGCTGGTTTGGAAAGAGCAGTAAAAGTCACTGGGAACATGCCAGCCTGATACTCTGCTCTCTCACTGGCTCCTCACTGAAGAGAATCCAGTTTGTGGTCGCTGTCCTGACTCTGAAACCCTGCATGGAATGGTCCCAGATACCAGTGGTGCCAATCAGGGGCAGTTGGGGGGTAAATGCCCCCACCCTGCTCAGAGTTCTGTAGGCCGCAGAGCTGGGGGGGCCATGGCCTGACCACTTTTACACAAGGGTCCCATACTAAACCAGTACAGCTGCTGTTGGTACAGTCCAGAACATCGCTGTGTGGAAATTTGACCCCACCACCCCTGCGTTACAGCAGAGTGGGACTGAGCCAAATGGTGTTGTGACCTGGCACGTGTGGAGTCTGTTCCTGTAGGGCAGAGCATGGGGAGTCTGCTGAGACCTCGACTCCTGGCAGCCCTGGCTCATGCACTATGTGGGTAAGAGGGGAGACTCCCCAGCCAAGGGAGACTTGGGGTCTCTGCAAGGAGGTGGATGAGCAGGGACTGAAACAGGATCCCTGCCAGGAGCAGGGGGCAGGGACTGAAATTTGCCTCCCTCTCCACCCCCAAAAAATATATGAATTGGCACCACTGCCAGCTACCCCACAACCCTCCCTTCACAACCGCAAGCTCTCAGAGCAACTCCGTTCCCTTCACAACCACAAGCTCCCAGAGCAGCTACGTTTTCCTGGGCTATAGATATCATCCACCAACAGAGGATGCCTGATGCCCTTGGGAGACAGAGCCTTCACAGGCACCAGACCATTACTGGAACTCATTGCCAGGTGAAATAACAGTGACCACTAACCTCAGCGCATTCAGAGCTAAATGCAGCCACTAGAGAGCCCCCAAGCCCCAACTCTTCTGTTTTCCCTGGACAGGCACGTGCTGAGACAAAGCACTGGAAGGGGATGCTACAGATCTACCTGCATTTTGCTAGGCTGCTGATCTTTCTTCTTCTCCCCAGCAACTGCAATTGTTGCAAAGTACTGGATGACGCGCTTGGTGTTCACAGTCTTCCCAGCACCAGATTCTCCACTGTTGGGGGGGGCGGAAAGTATTAACTTGTAAAAAAAATTAAATCTATTCTTCACATCCTGTCATCTTACTCACAGGTACTGGAATATACTCACGTGATCAGGATTGACTGGTTATCACGGTCTGAAAATAAAATGGTACAAAGAGCTATCAAATGGGCCGTAGTGCACATTGCATCCTAAAGCCAAACTCTGTTCCACCTCCACCCCCCGGAGACTCCACCAAAACCAGGACACTCTGCCTGGGGGATGATTTTAATGTTCCATTTCCAAAGCTGTGGTCGAAGCTGAGGAAACACCACACTTGACTGGAGCTCGGATGTGCAAAAGGGGCCAGTTACAGAGCTGACTGGGCTGGAGCTAGTTTTTTACAAGACTCTGGGTTTTCTATCAATATTTTAAATATTTATTGGCTTAGAGTCAAATTCCCTGCCCTGCTCTGTCCCTAGCTCCCATCTGGAATATGGCGTGTCTGTGTGCTCAGTTGCAGGGCAGGCCCTTAGAGACGGCTGCCAACTGGTGCCGTTAGAGTAGTACCCAAGCTGTTCTAACCTGCCCTGGAGCTAGGGCAGCTCAGAGAATTGGGGAACTATAACCAGTTCCTTGATGGCCCCCCTTCTCTGCTGCACTGAACATTAACCCCTTAGGCCCTGATTATGTCTCACATAGATATGCAGAGCAGTGCCAAAGCCTGAACCGTCAGGATATGACGCAGACTTCAGTTCTTTCTTAGGAAGTCAGGCTTTCTTGCTCTAGGCAGAAAATATCCTTCCTAGCCTGAGATCTTGACAACTCACAGAAAAGCTAAACTTTCTGGCAGAGGAGATGGCTAACATAATGATACTTGGCGTGGTCTCAAGCCCATTGCCTCTAGGAGTCCCCAGGCAGCAGCCTAACACAGATAAGATTCTAACCCAGGGGTGGGCAAACTTTTTGGCCTGAGGACCACATCTGCGTATGGAAATTGTATGGCAGGCCATGAATGCTCACAGAATTAGGGGTTGGGGTGCGGGAGGGGGTGAGGGATCCAGCTGGGGGTGCGGGCTCTGCAGTGGGGATGAGGAGCTTGGGGTGCAGAAGGGCGCTCCAGGCTGGGACCAAGGGGTTCGGAGGGCAGGAGGGGGATCAGGGCTGGAGCAGGGGGATGGGGCATGGGAGGAGGTCAGGGGTGCTTATCTCAAGCAGCTCCTGGAAGTAGTGGCATGTCCCCCCTCCAGCTCCTACATGGAGGTGCAGCCAGGCAGCTCTGCACACTGCCCCATCCGCAGACGCCACCCCTGCAGTTCCCATTGGCCACAGTTCCCGGCCAATGGGAGCTGCAAAGCCAGCATTTGGGGCAGGGGCAGTGTGTGGAGTCCTCTGGCTGCCCCTACACGTAGGAGCCGGAGGGGGGACATGCCGCTGCTTCCGGGAGCCACGGCACGTGCGGAGCGAGGTAAGCCCCTGACCCCGCTCCCCAGCAGGAGCTCAAGGGCTGGATTAAAAGGTCTGAAGGGTCGGATATGGCCCCTGGGCTGTAGTTTGCCCACCCGTGTTCTAACCCCTCATGAGGGAAGCCATTATTTGTCTCCCCATTTTATAGATGGAGAGACAAAGGTGAGAGAAGGGAAGTGACTTTTCCAACCTGACTCAGTGAGCTACTGAAAAATCTGGGCCTAGAAACTAGAGCTGGGGGGAAAATTTGGACAAATAATTTGCCAAAAAATGCAGTTTTGGTGGACCCAAAACTAGTCAAAAACTTGACCCAATAGTTTCAGCTTGGAAAAAGGTTTTCAAACCACGAATCTATCCCACTTTATAACCTTTAGCCCAGTAGTTAGAGCAGTTGCCTAGAATGTGGAAGACCCAGGTCTGAATCCCCACTCTGGAACAGAGACTTAAGTGCACAGCTTCTGCCCCCCAAGTGAGCAGCCTAACCAGCAGGCTGTACGGGGGTTGGGGCCTCTTAATCTTGCCTGTTGCAGCTGTTCAACTTTGAATACATTCTTAAATGTTTATTGGGCCAGAAGGAAAGAGAACGGCTCTATAGCCTGGTGATTAAGTCACTCCCCAGAAAGGTAGGAAATAAGGAGTCAAATCATCTTGCTGCCTGATTCAGAGCTGAGTACCTTCATCACCAGGCTGTGGTCTCTCGCTTTGGTCCAATGAATATTTAAATATTTATGCTTAAATGCTGAGCTCCGTTAACTGGGCAGCTAGCCCTGCACATCACTGCAAAATACTAGGGTTTTCCCCTCCAGGTAAATGACTCACCAGTTAACATGAACTGATAGGCGTTGTCAGAGATGGAGAAGATGTGGGGTGGGGCCTCTTGACGCTTTTTGCCCCTGTAGCCAGCCACCACCTCAGGGTTGTACACTGGCAGCCACTTGTAGGGGTTGACAGTGACACAGAAGAGGCCTGAGTAGGTCTGTACAAAGAAGAATGGGAGGACTTTTAGTTCTCATGTGCCCATGAGAATTAAATATCTTTATGCAGAAAAGAAGTTTTAAAAATCCATTTACATAGATCATCCAGGCTGCGTAACGCTCTTTGAGGTTATACAACACAGCAGCCTCATGGAGGTGGGTCATCATCACCATGTCCTCGACTTTATCATATTTGGGAGGATTCATAGGGAAGACTTGGTCATCCTTGGCAGTCACAGTCTGGCAAAACCAGAAGAGAACAGGAGAAGAAAGGTAAGCAAGGAAACTTTCTGAGCTGCATGAAAATGACTTGAAGCGGATGGTTTAATTTCCTACTTACTCTGTCATCATATGTTTTGACCGTGACTTTGTCACTCTCCCTGCTCTGGATGATTCCTTTCACATACATTTCTTTATCATCGATTACAAAGCAGGCTCCTTTAGCATCAAATGGGCGATTCTGGGCCTCAATCCTCTCCTTCTCAGGCTTCCGCAGATAGGGAGCAGCATCTCCAAAGATTGACATCTCTGCATCTGAACTCATGGCTGAAGTTTGGCTGGGGAACCAAGGATGTGTTTGAAATTCAGCACTGTCTGGCAGTGGTCAGTTTCAGTTCCAGGACTTCTGAATGCACACTCTCTTTTTTCCATATTTAAGGACTGGGCTGTGTAAACCATTACCAGGACTGATTGATAGGACTGGGGCCACTACAGGCCTAAGTTCAGTCTGGTGTTAAAAGCAGATAAGGGAATACCTAGAAACAACATCTACATAAAGTCAGTAGGCCTGGATGACGGACATTCTAGGGCTTTTGGGGAATTAGACAATGAAAAAAATTGAACCACCGATGATTGCTTTAGAAAGGGCTCGGAGAATTAAAGGTATCAGAGAAATGGGGAGAAAAGCAAAACTGAATCTATCTTAAACAAAAAACGTGATCCTGAAATCCATCATTCTGTAGTCTGAAGGCTTGTTTCCATAGAGACTTATTGCACAGCAAGTCAGGGTGTGAATGTTCAGAGCACTACGGTGCTGTGTGGAACCTGGGCCAAGCACTAAATGTTCTGTAATGAGTAGCTAGTGGAGTCCCATAGGATCCAGTACTAGTCAATATTTTCATTAATGATTTGGATAATGGAGTGGAGAGTATGCTTATGAAATTTGTGGATGACACCAAGCATTTTGGAGAACAGGATTAGAATTCAAATCAGCCTTGAACATTGGAGAATTGGTCTGAAATCAGCAAGATGTAATTCAGTAAAGACAAGTGCCAAAAAGTATATGTAGGAAGGAAAAGTCAAACTCACAACTACAAAATGGGAAATAACTGGCTAGATAGTAGTACTGCTAAAAAGGACCTGGAGGTCACAGTGGATCACTGATTGAATGATAGGCAACAATGTGATGCTGTTGTGAATAAGGCTAATAGAATTCAGGGGTATAGCATGCAAGACATGGGAGGCAATTGTACCGCTCCAGTTGGCACAGGTGAAGCCTCAGCTGCTTAGCTGGAGTACTGTGTCCAGTTTTGGGCTCCACACTTTAGGAAAGATGTGGGCAGGTTGGAGAGAGTCCAGAGGAGAGCAACAACAATGATAAATGGTTTAGAAAACCTGACCTATGGGGAAAGGTGAAAAAGAAAGGGCATGTTTAGATTTGAGAAAAGAAGACTGAAGGTGTATATATTAAGGATTGGTATAAAGATGGTGATGATCAACTGTTCTCCTTGTTTACTAAAGGTAGGACACGAAGTAAGGGGCTTAATCTGCAGCAAGGGAGCTTTAGGTTGGATATTAGGAAAAACGTCCTAACTATAAGGATAGTTACAGTCTGGAATAGGTTACCAAGGGAGGTTGTGGAATCCCCAACTGGAGGGTTTTAAGAATAGGTTAGACAAACAGGGATGGTCTAGGTTTACCATCAGCACAGGGGAGATGGACTAGATGACCTCTCGAGGTCCCGTCTAGCTTACATATGATTACACAGCTGGAGTTATAACAGAATATTAAGCAAAAAACTATGGATCATACCAGCCAAACTAGACTGCTTTTTAAAACAGAGTAACAAAGTTAGTGGAGTTAATAAAGTAATGTTATCTGGATAGGAATAAAGCATTTGATGGAGCATTCACAAAATGTCACTTACAACATTACTGCGAATATAAATGTTGTCACATGGGGTGAAACTGGCATATGGACCACTGCAATTAATGGAAGGGTAATGTTAAATAGCCACACTGTTAGAAAGGAATTTGCCTAGGAGCTGTACCACAGAGATGGGGGTTAAGCCCAGTTTTATTTTGCATCTGTGTTAATGATCTACAAGAGATGGCAAGCACCACATGGACTAAATCTGCAGATGACGCTGGGATTCGACAAGCCCAGTGTGAGCACAAGACTAACACAAAGGGATCCTGGGGTAGTAGAAATAGGGGCAGAAAACCACAGAAACAATAAGATTTAGTCTGGACAAATGCAAACTCCTACACTAGAGGAAAATCTCATCTAAACTGCTGCTATTCAACAGGAGAAGATGGGGGATTTGGAGACCCAACTCTCATTAATAGTAATGGGAACTCAGCTCCCAAAGCCTATAAACTGCTTTAAAAATCCCTGCTCGAGTGTATAGAGCCTGGATAGGCAACTAAATGGGACATGTAACTATGAGTGTCCAAAGGGAAGGATTCAAAGGGTAGGAACACCAAAGAGTGAGAGAAATCATTTAACACGGAAATTCCTGGGACCGATGGAGTAACATGGAGCACAGAAACTGGAGGCTGAATATTGGGAAATTGTGTGACTGCTGAGATCTATTAAATTGTTGAATACGCTTTAAAGAAAGACATGGAAGCATGAAAGTGCATGGGCAGATTGTAGGACACAAGCCTGAGTGTCTGGGCAATCGCCGCTCTAATTTCAATGGCCCATTGGATTCCTGACAGACATGTGTGGGCAGCCCCTGCCAGTGCTGGTGAGCTCCATCCTGTTTGCCAAAGCACCAGCATTTCCATGAGCATTAGGAAAGGAATGGCCTAGGGCTGCGCTGGCTCCATTAGCTCTATGGGGAAGGTGGAGGGATTGGCCACTGCCATAACACTGGCCCCACTGGCCCCAGAGACCTGTTGTATGGGGAGGAGGCAGACATGCATTTTTCTTCTAGAGGAAATCCCCCAAAGCTAATGCAGCCAGGTATTCACTTCTGGGTAGAACCTCCCGCACTGTGCTGTAAGCTCCTTTCAAAGCAGAGCTCCCTGTTCAGGGTCCAGTGGCGCCATTGAGGGACCCCAGCTTGTTCTGCTGGAGAGGGGTCATGGCAACCTCCACTCCCCGCACCTGAGGGAATGACCTGGGGAAAACACAGACACAGGAACAGCCTAGAGTTTTCATGGAAATGACCAGTCTGATCACAGGTGAATGTGGAGGTAAATTAACCATTTGGACTGCCAAGAATGGGCTCCATTTCCAGAAGGGCCTTTCCATTCTCCTCAGAGCATTTTACTGAGGGACAGATGTGATTATTTTCTAAAAGCAGAGTGGAACCTGTGTGGAATAGAACTGCATTGTATTGGGAAGGCAGGTCACATGCTTCTACACGCTGCATGGAGGCTGAGACCTCTAGCAAACACAATCAGCGCCATTCAGAAGCAGAATGGGGGCGGGGGGGGAGGGAGAAAGACTTTAACAGGCTCCTCTTGCAACAGTCAACGGTCTTTGCTGATCAACAGGCTGCAAACAATTACAAAGCTGCAGAATACAGTTGGCTGGTTTTGTTTACTTCATATAACAAACCTCTTACTTTTACTTAGCAAAACACAGTGTGCTGGTCGTGCTGGGCTCTCACAGATCATTTTGGGGTTTTGTTTCATTTCTGACAATGGGCTTTGTCATTTAGTTTTATAACTCCCATTTTGTATTCATCCAATGCATGCTGAATTCTCCTGACAGTTCTCTTCACCCCTTCTGCCCAGAACTGAATCATTCCTTATATTAAACACCATGGAACACGTTCTTGCCAATGAAAAGAGGACACACAATTTCAGGGTACTTGGTTTATAGCAAGTTTATACTACTAGATCATCCATCTAGCTCCTCATTACCACATTGCCCTTGCATTTTTCGTCAGACCTTAAGTGTCTGCCCTTGTAACTGATCCAAGAGTCTGTCCTGTAAGGGCTACAGTGCATGCCAAGCCAGGGTGAGAATCTACAGTGTGATAGCCTGCTGGTTACTGACTGTCCATGTGGACCCTGCTACCACACCCTGAAAGATCCTAGTGCACTTTGATCTGCTGCTGTTTCAAAGCGGAGTAGATCAAAGTGAACTAAGGAATGTTTAATACATGGTAGCAGGGTCCACAGGCCAGTTAGTGCAAAGCAGGTGCATATGCCCCACCTGCCGTGCACTAGCAGACCATGTAGACAAGCCTTTACCGATCCATAAGATATTTAGCAATGGTCAGTTTGATTAGACTCTTGCAAGAAGATGCTAGCACCTGACTGTAGTATGCTGAGGTACTTACTGCTAACAAAATCCCAGTCTGTGTATTCCTTACAGTGTTGGCATCAGGGCTGCCACCTGTCTCTCTGGGCAATATGGACCAGAGCTAATTAGCACAACATCTTACTTCTACCTTTCTAAGGTCTGCCTGCTCTGCTACAAGGTGGAAATTGCTAGGCTGGCAGGAAGGCTTAGGTACATTCTGCTGACACTGGTAAAACTAATCCCATTGGTAATTCATGAACAAATTCCCAGCTTGCCCAGGAGCTTCAAAGCGCAAGGTCAGTATGTGTTAGCTGGAGAGATCGGCCAGTACTGCACACCAGACAGCATTTCATCTTGTGTGTAAACTACACACATTGCTCAGGGATATCGGCACAGGTACATACTGCATTTAAAATGACTCTTACCTTCAGTAACCCAAGGAGGCAAACTGTGTTCGGTATCTTCTTATGGTGTGGAAAGGAAAGGAAAGGAAAAGAAAGTTAAATCCAAGAGAGTTCATTGTCTTGGTTATCTAGTAGCTTAGTGTCTTTTACCATCTACTCTGAGTATTACTGTACTACACAGCTGAATAATAGGATTGTAGAAAAGGGAGCATGTTTCCCATTTCATGTATAATTGCTCTTAACCATTAAACTACATAGGAGTTCCTCTGGACTACCAATTTGGATCCAAGCCCCACAGAGAACCACATGTATCCCCCTATCTTACTGTAAACTATTGACATTAGAATGCTGAACCAGCAAACGGAGATGCTGGGAAAGGTCAGATGCATTAAATATATTGTCCTGCATCAACACCTGAACTGTTAGCTTTTTTGTGCCCGTGGCAGCCTAAAAGGTGGTGAAGTGTGCTGAGGGGCCTCCTTCTGCTCCTGTCACCACAGCCACATGTGCGCAGCGTGGGACAATTCTCTCTTACACTAAATGTGAGTGTATCCAGAGTGTCAGAAATGGGGAGTGGGACAGATCTTGCTCTTCCCTGATCCCTCATGCTCTTCAGCTGAGCAACATCGAAGTCCAGGAGTGTGGGCAGGCATCTGAG